ATATTCACTTCTCGGGGGCAGTTTCTAATTTCTACATCGTCAGGAAGGTGAAGTTTCATGCGAAGAACGTCTAGATCTACTGTCATGTTGAGAGTGAGTGAAGATTCCGGGGAGGAGAAAGAAGTCTTCCAAAAGACAAATGCAAATGAAACTAACCTTAGAGAGTGAAAACGGCATAAAGTATTGCAAAGCCACTGGAAGAAGGATCTTTCGCAAGAGATCACCAGAGAGGATTCAAATAGCAAAAAGTGAGATGGAGATGGTAAAGAGGATCGATGGAGAATCAATGAAGCTTATAAAGACAAGGTGAGCCCAAGGGCCGAGGAGTCAAGAAAGCGATGGGTTGTCTTTTTGAATCTCAAAACGCCGACCCCTAGATCTAACCGTCCACTCTCCCACACGATCTCCTCGAGCCATCAGGTCATCATTAGCAGCCTCTAATAATTACCCCCTAATCAATAAGGGGTAATTATGGGGGCAGTTGAGGATGCGGCAAGTGGCATGGGCCGGATATAGTTCGCGAGAACGGGATCGGGTCGAATGATTGAAGTATGATCCATGCCAAAGCGCCCTGGAATGGGCCGAACCTGGGGAATCCACCGAGGAAGGTCAAGCCTATTGGAAGATCAAGCCCAGAAGGAAGAGAGCTTTTGAATATAAGCCCAATGTAATCAGTTAACAGCAATAAGGGTGATGGCCTATAAATAGACCATTACAGGTGGAAAGTGAAAACAGAATGCTAGAGAGAGAGACAGAGATAGGAAACGAGAGAAGAAACGAAATCTTGTATCTTCACTTTCTTTAGGTCAATGATTATGGTGTATGAGAGTTGATCTGGAAATCTGAACCCTGTTCCTCTTCAGTTTTTGTAGTTTCCAGCTATGGTTGCTATTGATACTATAGTAATGAGGAAGATAAAGACTAAAACTAAATCCGAACAAACTAAGACTGAATCTACGACTCAATGCAACTTTGGCAAGAAATTGGTGCCACGTTCCGCAGTTGACAGAAATTTGAATTTTGCTGATAACTTAAAGCTGAAGTTGTCAGAACCAGGCTGTCACAAGCGGAGACCTGCAGGATTGTTAGAAAATCAAAAGGTGAAGAGGCAGAAGATAGATCAGAGCGTGTCACAGCAGTGTTCTACCACTCTGAAAAATTGGCGACTGTTAGATTGTTTATGTATATATATATTTATGTTGGGTCATTATGTTATTACCCATAGTTGTTAGGATCATTGTATAATTAGGTAACCTTATTTAATTAGGGTTGTTTGTTTTCCCTTCATAAAAGCCGCTGTAGGCTTAAGGGTAAAGGAGTGAAATATATACAAGAGATATACAGAATACATATTCTCTCTTTCTCTCTCTCATGAATCTGAACATGGTATCAGAGCAATATGGATTCATGGGTGTGGGAAACGACAATTGTGTTGCCATTGTATGAGATTGGAATCGCGATCGGAATCGCAAGTCTGTTGTCGCGTTGGGTGTCTTTACCGGAAATTGTTGTCGCCGGCAGGTTGAGAACATCACTCGTAGTCGTCGTCGTCGTCGTCAGATCTGCAGCCTCCTTTGTCGTCGTCAGATCTGAAGTCCCTTTGGTCGCTTGTGTTGTTGCCGCGTTGGTCGTTAGCAAGCTCGCCGACATCCACTGTCGTCATTTGTAGAGGTGAGGCTTCATCGATTCGTCTTTTCTCTTGGTCGGAAGTTGCAGAAGTGTTTGTCGCTGTTTTTCACCGTCGCCGCTGCGTGCTTGCCGGCGTTTATCAGTGAGTGAAGAAGAACAGTGGTGTTTGGCTACGCGGTTATGCTATTCCAACCCTGGTTAACAAAAACCGGAATAGCAGAGACCCGGTTTTGATCCAGCCCGATTATCCAGATCCGGCCCAACTCCTGATTCTGCATTTTTTTTCCAGGTTCATTTTTTTTTTGTTATCTCCTCCATGGCTGCCAGTTTAGACCTGTTATCTTCTACCTCCTTCAATCCTCCCATGACTTCAGTAAAGGTTTTTTTTTTATAAGTAAAAATAACATTAAAAAAAGGCGTTCAAGAGGAAACGCATCCCAATTACAAAAGTGGAACCAGGACTAAGGCCCCAAAGAATCCAAAAAAATAATTAAATCATATGAAGAAGAACAAAAGCTTCTCTTCACATAATTGAAGAGAGAAAGATAAATGTAAAGTTTAACCGTTTCCGTAGGCAACTCTCTTCCTTCGAACATTCTGCTATTTCTCTCCTTCCAAATGCACCACCATATACAATGTGTTATAATTCTTCAGAAATCGCGAATGTCTCTTTTCATTCGACAACTTCTCCAAATATGAATCAATTCCTTAGTAGATCGTGGCATAACCCAACACATGCCAAACAACCCAACAATAAGATTCCAACAATCAATCGCCACAGGGCAATGCAAAAGGAGGTGATTAACGGACTCCTCATCATCCTTGCATAGACAACAGCGATTAACTATACAATTGCCCCTTTTTCTCAAATTATTAATTGTCAGAATCTTTCCCCACACAGCAGTCCAAATAAAGAAAGCCACCCTAGTTGGAGCCATAGACCGCCAAATAATTTTCCACGGGAAGTCTCGATTAACAAAATTTGACAAACATAAGAACAAAGATCTAACTTCGAAACGACCATGAGAAGAGGGAACCCAAATTAAAACTTCTTGACCTCTGCCAATGCCCTCCTGTTGATACAGAAGATCCAAAAAAACACATACCTTGTTCATATCCCAATCCTAAAAAGAGAGCCGAAAATGCACATCCCATATAATCCCGCTGCTATCAAGCCGATAGCAGTCGACTATGTATGCGTGTTTATCAACAGCAATACTAAATAATCTTGGAAATGTACAAGAAAGTGGTTGATCCCCACACCAAAGATCTTCCCAAAATCGAATGCAACGTCCATCACGGAGTTTGAATCTGATATGAGCCGAAAAAACATCCCATCCCTTCCGGATAGGGTAATCGAACGCGTAGACCAACCTCCAGCCTCTTCGCCAAATCGACAAAAGACTAACCTACGCCATGGTCAATGTTTTTCCCTCCCATATCTCCATAACCACTTACCCAGGAGAGCTTGATTTAAAGGAACTAATCGTCTTATTCCAAGTCCACCCAATTTCACAGGCTTACAAACTTCCTTCCATCTGATAAGGTGGTACTTGAACTCATCGTCCTTACCACCCCAAAGGAAATCCCTTTGAATTTTTTCAATCTTGTCTGCAATGGAACAAGGGATTTGGAACATAGAAAGAAAATAAGTGGGGAGGCTCGACAAGGTGCTTTTGATAAGAATAACTTTACCCCCTTTTGACAAGTATTGCTTCTTCCAACCTGCTAATCTCTTCACATACCTGTCAATCACGGAATCCCAACTCCCCACTAAACTTGAAGAGACCCCCTAGGGGAAAACCCAAATAAGGAATAGGGAATGAGCTCACCCTACATCCAAGGACTGCAACTAAAGAGGAAATATCCGGAACATTCCCTACTAGGACAAGCACACTCTTTGCCACATTGACCTTTAACCCAAAAACTGCCTGAAAACAAGTCAGAACACACCTCAAGTATCGAAGTTGAGACATATTAGCATCACAAAAAACTAGGGTGTCATCTGCAAAGAGTAAATGGGAAATCTCCATCTGATGGTCTAAATCTCTACCCACCCTGAAGCCCTTAATAAAACTAAGGTCCTCTGCCCTACGAATCAGTCTACTTAACCCCTCCATAACAACAAGAAAAAGGAAATATGACAAAGGATCACCTTGTTTTATACCTCTAAAGTAACCAAAGAAACTGGTAGGAGAGCCATTCACAAGAACTGAAAACTTGACAGACGAAAGACAGGTCTCAATCCATTTCCTCCATTTACTTCCAAACCCCATTCTTTGTAACAAATAGAGTAGGAAATTCCAATTCACATGATCATATGCTTTCTCAATGTCAAGTTTGCATAGAACTCCAGGAATACCACTCCGCAATCTGGAATCCACACATTCGCCAGCAATAAAAACTGAATTAAGAATTTGTCGTCCGCCAACGAAAGCTGTAACGACCCTCGCCCTGGCTAGACACAATATTGTCCGCTTTTGGCTCATCCAGACCAGAAACTTCCCAGGGGGTCACCCATCCTGGTATTACTCCAAGTTAAGCACGCTTAACTACAGAGTTCTGATGGGTTCACGGCCATCACGGCTTTAAAACGCGTTGTGTCATAGAAGGGTGTTGAATCTACATATAGCACTTACCCCATCCACACCCAGACGATGTGGGATTGTGCACCTGTAGTTCGCCTAGTGTGGTAGCCTACTGGTGCCCCCTGCACACGCTCACATACACCAGCCCACAAGGTCGCCACAATCACCCCCCCTTTGGGGCCCAACGTCCTCGTTGGCCATACTTCCAGCTGGGTCAGGCTCTGATACCATTTGTAACGACCCTCACCCTGGCCAGATACAATATTATCCGCTTTTGGCTCACCCAGACCAGAGACTTCCCAGGGGGTCACCCATCCTGGTACTACTCCAAGTTAAGCACGCTTAACTACAGAGTTCTAATGGGTTCACGGCCATCACGGCTTTAAAATGCGTTGTGTCATAGAAGGGTGTTGAATCTACATATAGCACTTTCCCCATCCATACCCAGACGATGTGGGATTATGCACCTGTAGCTCGCCCAGTGTGGTAGCCTACTGGTGCCCCCTGCACAAGCTCACACACACCCGCCCACAAGGTCGCCACAAAAGCATTTTGGGAATCCAAAATAATTACATCCATAACTTCCTTCATCCTTAAAATGAGCACCTTAGCAATGAGTTTGTAAATGCAACCCACCAAACTAATAGGACGAAAATCCTTTATATTTGAAGCACCACCCTTTTTTGGAATAAGGGCAATGAATGAAGCATTAAGTGATTTCTCAAAGACGCCAAAAGAATGAAACTCCTAAAAAGTACCCATTACCTCATTTCTTACAACCGCCTAACTTTCCATCAGAAATCGCATAGTGAAGCCATCAGGACCCAGAGCTTTATCCCCATTACAGCTTGAGAGAGCTTTAAGAACTTCTTCTTCAGTGAAAGGATTCTCAATCCTATCTTTATCAAGCTCAGAAATAGCCTCAAAATGGAGACCATCAAGTTTGGGCCTCCAAACTAAAGACTCTGTGTAAAGCTTCTGATAAAAGGAAGCAACACCATTATGCACCTCTTCCTCTCTCCACAACTCCTCACCATCTACCCGAATTCTTCCTATATGATTACTCCTCCTATGAGCATTAGCTAACTGGTGGAAGAATTTTGTGTTCCGATCACCTTCCTTTAGCCAAAGAGCCCGGGATTTTTGTTGCCACGAGATCTCCTCCATACTAGCGATCTCAGCAAATACCGCCCGACAAGAGGCTCTCCTGGAATGAAGAGATTCCATATCCCTTCTGGCCTCCTCAAGACGATCAATCTCTGAAAATTCAACAAGTACTCTATTCTTCCTTCATTCCAAATTCCAGAAGACATCCTTGTTCTACTGCTTGAGAGCTAACTTGAGAGCCCTTAACTTCTTTGTAATTATGAAACTGGGCAAACCTAAAGAAGTGACTCCTTCCCACCAAGAACTAACTTTTCCTTGGAAATCATCCGAACGCAGCCACATATTCTCGAATCTAAACGGGAATGTTTGAGAACATAAACCCCCGCAATCCAAAACCAAATGCACATGGTCAGAAGTGACCCTTTCTAACATAGCTTGAACAACATCTGGGAATTTGTCTTCCCAATCCCCAGAAATTAAAATTTTGTCCAGCCTTGATAGAGTGATTGGATCCCTACCATTGGACCAAGTATAAGTTGCTCCTTCTATTGGTAAATCAACAAGAAGATACTCATTAATAAAATCAGAAAATTGATCCATTTCCAGAGATCTTCCCCCTGTAGACCTTTCTGATGAGGACCTAACAGAATTTAAATCCCCTCCCAAGCACCAAGGGAAAGACCACAGTCCTTGGACATAGCAAAGCTCCTCCCAAAAGATAGGTCGTTCATCATCAACAACCGGTCCATAGACTCCGGTAAAAACCCACTTGAAGTTGTCCTCTTCCATCTTAAACATGCAAGATAAAGAGAATCTTCCCATCTATACATCCGTTCGAGTTAACCATCTACTATCCCACATAACTAACATCCCACCCGAAGATCCTATAGCATTCAAAGCCTCCCATTCCATAAACCTTCCTCCCCACAATCTCTTAACCTCCCTGTCAGTAATGGATGCCAACTTGGTTTCTTATAAGCAAACAAGCTAGGCACCCCACTTCCTTAAAACTACCTTCACCACCCTTCCCTTGTTCGGATCATTAAGACCATGAACATTCCATGAAATGATTTGTAGCTTCATTGTAAACCAGATAAAATAATCTCCCCTCCACCCTTCTTGAGACTCTTGCTCCTGGTTCTTCCCCTTTCCTTCACCACTCCTCTTTTGCCTTTGTAGTTGACTTCAGAAATGAGATTATTTATCTCCTGTACTCCTTTCCAAGATGATAAAGGCTTCGTGTTTATAACTTCATTGGTCACTACAACTTCTCTCCCTTCCACAATTGTTTGAAGGATAGATAATGTCTGGTCATTATTACCCTTTGAAGAGACTCCCAGAAGCTTACTAGTGACTCCAATATTGTCAACTACCCAATCTTTCCCCATATCAACACCCTGTTCGTCAGGTCGCACCATAGCCAGTGGTGTCTCCTGTAGGATTTCAGAACTCTTCTCCACCCAAGGTGTAAGCTCATTAGAGCATACCTGTTGGATAAAACCCAGATCATCAAGCACTTCCTCTTCCAGCTCCTTATCATTTTCATAAAAAGAATCAGATTTTGAAACAAAGTAGGTCGTATCAGTCTCTGTGTGAGGCAAACAATTAAGACCTTTCAGAGCAACACTTAGTCGAAGCTCTTTGAATAAAGCTACAGCCTCTTCATTGGACAACTGGAAGTGCAGGTCTCTGCCCACGCATACTGAAATCCCTTCAGATAATTTCTTAACAGCATAATCTGTAATTTTCATCTGCCTAGAAACGACAATCTCACTCTCCTTAATACTTTCCGTATTCAACCTAGAATCAGTTCCATCATTCGTAATAGTCAACTCACTGCTCTTCTCCAATTCTGGCCTAACACCGGCACTCCTCAGCATACTAGAAGAAGAGGATGGAACATTAAAATTCTAAGGATGTGAAACTGATGACGTACCTGGATCACTAGTAGAGGTCCACTTCTGCTTCTCTTTTCGAGACCATCTAACTCCTTGACGTTTTCTGTTGAGGTCCCTAGATGAAGACCTAACAATTCTTCCTTTCGTCTGGAAAGTTTCAGAGAGAGATGACAATGAGATGTCTGCACATATTGAGAATGGCAAGAACCCAATTCAACAGGACCACCACCAGTCGCTACACCAGATAATTTCAACCATTTTCTCTTTTCCGGAGAGTTCCAGAAAATTACAGAATTATCTTCAGGCCTCTGAAAGTGACTAACTCCTTTTGAGGTAAGTGAACTGGGCTTGGGGTTGATAAAAAAAAAACTAGTATTTTATTTTTGGGCCCCTTCAAGACCTTTTTCTTCATATTACTCCCATTTGGTCCATAACTTAAATGGACTTTGGGCTGGGCTTGTTCTTAAAATAAAGAGGCCCTCGATGAATAGCCTTCTGCAACTCTTATGGGCCGGGGTGAACAAGCGGCCCATATGACGATATAGGCCCGTAGCCCATTTCAGTTCCACACCTAAGCCCATTAGAGTTCATAACATTAAAAACTCCATTAAGAATACGGTCTTTGCCACGTGGTTGGTATCCGTTAGCGCGGATATTACGAGGGAACATATGGCGATGACTAAGGGCTTGATTGGCCCTTCGACGCGCTTCAGGCGCGTGCATAGGCAGACATCTCTTTCCTTCGACGCCATGGTAGATCTGTATTTTTCGGCAATTTCCTCCATTTGCAACAGCGGGGATATGTGACTCCTTAACGCTATAGTAAGATTTCGGAAGGATACGAGGTGTTATTTCCTCTATTAAGTTAACCCTGTAAGCCACTCATTGGTCCTCAACAAAAATGTACTCCGGCAACATTTTCCCGACAGAGGCAAAGAGGAGAATTCGTTGTCCACACACCAAAATGTCCGCCTTAACTCCTCGGAATCCACCACAAAAAATTCCCAATTGCTTCAAAAAGCTTGTTGCACCAGAGATGGAGGGGTAAACCAAATAAGATCACCCGACGTGTGACTCGTTCTTTTACAGCAAAACAGCCGGCGGCGAAGTACCAAATATCGATGGATAATAAAGCGTCACCCCATCTTTTCCTCCCTTTGTCCAACACTCTTAAGGCCTTAGCCTCCGAAGGAAACCGAAACAGAAGTAGATCATCAGGTAAAGGAGATACTTTCACCCCACATGAAACCTTCTAAGTTTTCAACGCCCATGCCTCAATCCCTTCAAGACACCCCACGTCTTTATCAAAACGACCTACAAGGCATGATTGCAGTACAGATTGATGCTTTGATGATCAACCCTATAAACTAAATCATTGCCTATAGAGCAGCTTTTGATTTCCCTATGAAGATTAAGGCATGGTAGGGTCGCAACGCTAAGATAGGAACGATGCATATCACGATTCCTTGCCAAAGAACGAAGAACCAGTGACAGGCAAAAACAGTGGACGCCGGAATGGAAGACTCTAACATCAAAAAGAAAAGAGAAAGAAGAGAGAAAAGTCAAACATTTAAACAAAGAGAGAGCTCAGATACAACTTCAGTCAAGCTTAATGGCAAAAATTACATTTTATAAGCCAAGTCAGTAGCCATTTTCCTGAAAGCCAAAGGCTTTGGCACTCATTTGGTTAAGGATAAACCCAAAGACAGTGATGCTGATTTCAGTTCATGGGAACAAAGGGATGCTCAGATCATCTCCTTAATGCTGAATTGTATTGAACCTCATATTAGCTCCAACTTGTTATATCTGGACACTGCCAAGGAGATGTGGACCCGACTCTAACAGCTATATTCAGATACTGGTAATATAACCAGAATTTATGAGGTGTGTAGACAATTTTTTAACCTCCAGCAAGGGACTCACAGTTTAGAAGAATACCTCTCACGTGCAATGGGTCTTTATGAAAAAATGAATTTGTATCAACCCATCACCTCTGATGTGAGAAGCATGCAACAACAACGTGAGGATTTTAATGTTGTTCGGGTTTTCACAGGATTGTCACAAGAGTATGAACCTATTCGTGCACAGATTTTGGGTAGCCCTGCACTTCCCTCTCTTCCTGATATGTTATCCAGACTCCAGCGTGCTACTTTATCTAGTGGCGTTTCCGGGGGTACTTCAAGTGGTGTCACTACTCCTCCTAGCAGTGAACGTTCTGCCTTAGTTGTGAACCAGGGTGGTTTTTAGTCTTCTCTTGGCGGTGGTGGTCATTTTACTCGTGGCCGTGGTCGTGGTCGTGACAGAGGCAGAGAATCAAAACTTTGCACTCACTGCGGTCTTACTAATCACACTATCAATTACAGTTGGGATCTTCATGGGAAACCACCACCTTCTTCCTATGCACATCAAGTAACTTCTAATGATGGGGATTCTTCTTTCTCTGCTACACCCACTGCTCCACATGTGGCTGTCGAGACTGCTATGGTCACGATTCCCTGCGATAAATATGATCAGTTTCTGTCTCAACAACGGCCTTCTACCTCATCTTCCATGAGGTCCCTTGCCCAATCAGGTAGTGCTCCTGCATGTCTTTTATCCTCTAGTCCAAGTCCGTGGATTGTTGACTCTGGAGCATCCGATCACATGTCTGGTAGTTCTCATCTCTTATCTGATTTTCAGTCTGTTTCTTCCTCTCAAAGTGTTACTCTTGCTAATGGATCATCAACTAAAGTTTTGGGTTTGGGAACTATTCATCTTACCTCCTCTATGTCCCTTTCCTCTGTGTTATATGTTCCTCAATTCCCTTTTAATTTGTTGTCCATTAGTAAGCTTACTAAATCTCTTAACTATTCCATTACATTTTATCCCACATGTTGTCTTTTTCAGGATCTCAACACGAAGAAAAGGATTGGTACGGGACATGAAGTAGGTGGCTTGTATTACTTCGATCTTGCACCATCTCACACGGTTCTTCAATCATCTTTGTCTTATTTCTAGCGGCACTGTCGTCTCGGCCACCCATCATTATCAGTTTTGTAGCGTCAAGTCCCCAGTCTTAGTCGTATTGAGTCCATATCTTCTGAAACATGTCAGCTTAGTAAGCATTGTCGTGTATCTTTCAAACCAAGACATAATAATCGTATTGCTAATCTTTTTCAGTTAGTTCATTCAGATGTATGGGGACCAATAAAACATATTTCTATTAATGGATTTCATTATTTTGTGACTTTTGTGGATGATCATTCGCGGATCACTTGGTTGTTTTTAATGAAAAATCGTTCTAAGTTGTTCTCTATTTTCCAAATATTTCGCAAAGAAATAAAAACTCAATTTGGGTGTTCCATAAAAGTTTTACGTTCTAACAATGACAAAGAATATTTCTCGGATCCTTTTGAGACTTATTTTCATACTAAAGGCATCATTCATCAATCATCTTGTACTTATACTCCGCAACAAAACGGAGTAGCTGAATGTAAAAATCGTCATCTCCTAGAAGTCTGTCATGCCCTTTTATTTCATATGCATGTTCCCAAATGGTTTTGAAGTGATGTTGTTCTTACGGCATGTCATCTTATTAATCGGATGCCCTCGTCAGTGTTACAAGGTAAATCTCCTCATTTTGTTCTATTTTCCAACTCCGCTTCATTTAATCTTACTCTGCGGGTCTTTGGATGTGTGTGTTATGTCCATAACCTTGGACCCGGTCTTGATATACTCGACCCTCATGCCACTAAGTGTGTTTTTCTTGGGTATTCTCACACTCAGAAGGGCTATCGTTGTTACAGTCCTCATTTTCAACGTTATTTCACTAATGCTGATGTCACATTTTCTAAGTCTCTCCCTTCTTTTTCTGATTATACTACTCCTCTCGATATTACTGTTGAGCCACCTATGCCAATGGTTCCCTCTCTGTTTCCTGCTTCTGCACCTCCTCGCTTTGTTGTCCCATTGCAGGTTTATACTCGACGACCTCGACCGCCTACTTCGCTCCCTCCATCTCCTTCAGAGTCTTCGGATCCGACGCCTTTACCTGATGATTTGCCTATTACCCTCCATAAAGGTATTTGGTCGTGTGTTACTGCACATCCCATTTCTAACTTTGTCTCCTACCGTCATATTTTATCCTCTTTATCTTGTTTTTTATCCTGAGCGTCTGCTACTTTTGTTCCCAAGACTTTGCAGGATGCTCTCTCTGATTCGGGTTGGCGGCAGGCCATGGTAGATGAAATGGATGCCCTTCACCATAATCACACATGGGATCTTGTTCCTTTTCCTCCGAGCTTCAAAACGGTTGGTTGTAACAGTTAAATACCTTTACGATGGGTCTATTGAGCGGTTGAAGGCTCGTCTAGTGGCAAAGGGGTACACTCAGACTTATGGTGTTAATTATGATGAGACTTTTTCCCCTGTTGCTAAGATTTCTTCTATTCGGGTACTTATTTCCATTGCTACCAATTGTAACTAGCCGTTGTTTCAATTGGATGTCAAAAATGCCTTCTTACATGGTGACTTGGTTGAAGAAGTTTACATGGAGCAACCACCTAGGTTTGTTGCTCAAGGGGAGTATCATTACATTGTTTGTCGCCTTAAAAAGGCCCTGTATGGATTGAAACAATCTCTACGGGCTTGGTTTGGCAAATTCTCTAAGGCGGCATTGGAATTTGGCCTTAACAGATGCCAGACCAATCATTCAGTATTTCACCTGCACACTAAAGCTGGTTTCATTTTTCTTGTGGTATATGTAGATGATATTGTGATCACAAGTGATGATTCTGAAGGCATTGCTAAGTTGAAGTTGTTTCTGTAAAATTGATTCCACACTAAAGACTTGGGTAAACTTAGGTACTTCTTGGGTATTGAAGTTGCTAGATCCAAGAAGGGTATAAGTTTATCTTAACGCAAATATGTGTTGGACTTACTAGAAGACACGGGTATGTTAGGTGGTCGTCCGGTTGATGCTCCTATGGATTCCAATACAAAATTTGTGTCTGATGAGGGTGATCTATTTAATGACCCGGGCAGATTTCGTCGCCTTGTTGGGAAATTAATTTATCTCACTATCACTCGACCTGATATTTCATATACAGTTAGTGTTGTAAGTCAGTTTGTGGGAGCTCCTAGAATGCCACATTGGATTGCTGTTCTTCGGATTATCTGATATCTCAAGCAAGCTCCAGGTTTTGGGTTACTATATAAATCAAATGGTCATCTCAGGGTGGAAGGTTTTACAGATGCTGAATAGGCTGGTTCTCCTTCAGATAAGAGATCTACCATAGGCTACTGCACATTTATAGGAGGAAATCTTGTTACATGGAAAAGTAAAAAAGCAAACGGTGGTAGCTCGATCTAGTACTGAAGTTGAGTACAGGGCAATGGCCCATACCACTAGTGAGTTGACATAGATACAACATTTTTGAAAGAACTTGGGTTAACAGTTGAAGCTCCTACTCCATTGTTCTGTGATAATCAAGCAACTGTTCACATTGCGTCGAATCCTATGTTTTATGAAAGGACCAAACATATTAAGGTTGATTATCACTTCATTCGGGAAAGAATATTAAGTGGGAGCATTTCTACTCCATTTGTGAAGTCTAAAGATCAACTAGCTGATATGTTTACCAAAACATTGGGTCATAATCAGTTAAGGACTATCTATTCCAACTTGGGATTATTTGATATATATTCTCCAGCTTGAGGGGAAGTGTTAGAATGTTTATGTATAAATATATTTATGTTGGGTCATTATGTTATTACCCATAGTTGTTAGGATCATTGTATAATTAGGTAACCTTATTTAATTAGGGTTGTTTGTTTTCCCTTTATAAAAGCCAATGGAGGCTTAAGGGTGAAGGAGTGAAATATATACAAGAGATATACAGAATACATATTCTCTCTTTCTCTCTCTCGTGAATCTGAACAGCGACTAATCCATCTGCTTGGCCTTTCAATCAGCCAGTGGATCCTGAGAAATTGAATATTCCTGACTACTTTTCTATAATTTCTGAACCCATGGATTTGGGAACGAGAAAGACCAAACTGGAGAAGAATTTGTATTCCAGCGCTGCAGAGTTTGCTTCTGATGTCAAACTGAACTCTTCCAATGCCATGCTGTATAATCCTCTAGACAACTACGTTCATCTAATGGCCAAGGATTTAGATAATATGTTTAATTCAGGATGGAAGTGCTTGGAGGCAAAATGGAATTGTAAGAGCAAAAGAGATGAGCAGTCTTCTATGTCAAGTGAAAGACCAAAGAATATTGATGTTTCAGGGCAGAATAGGTGTTTTCTGAGCAGAAAAGATGAACAGGCATCTGTTTCAAGTGGAAGACCCAATAATATTGTTGTTTCAGGGCAGAATAACCGTAAAACACCTTCATTGCGTGTTAGTTTGCAGCCCAGCACCTTGATGTCAGCTATGAAGAAGCAAAAGCTGAGAGAAGAGCTTGTGAGAGTATTAAAGGGAAATATGCCACTACAACTGGAGTCGTTTTTAAAAAAATATGGTTTCATCTGCCAGAAAGAAGAAAAAATTGAAGTGGAGATCAATACATTGGATGACAACTTTATGGGAGTTGGAAAGAGTGATTAGGAGTCCTTTGGATATAAGAGCTGCAAAAGTAAGTAATTTGTGGGTGATTACTTTATCAAAATAACTTTTACCTTTTAGTTTTTTGCAGTTGGTTCTAAAACTTCGTGTTGGTTTGGGTTCTTAAATGTATTATCTATTTGACCATCTCTCTTCGTTACACAGGTGGACCCTACTAAATTGAAAGAAAATGGCAGGCCTCAATCTTCAGGGAAGATGTTCCACAAAGGTATGAAGTGGCAGAATACAATTTCTGTTACGGGTACTAGAAGTGCTTCAGGTTCTGCCAATATCAAACCTTCATTGGCTCTCTCCAAATGTGCATGTGGCAGTGTGAGATGCCAATGTGGATGTCAAAATGATTTTGTCTGTTCATCTTCAAGTGGTTAGTTGATATTTTCTCATGTTGCTTCTCTACTATGGATTTCCAGTAGTTGACTGAGTTAATTCCAATCTTGCTTTTGGTACAGATTTATCTTCAGAGAAATCATTGGAACAAGATCATCATGATGCTTGTAGAACGGTACATATCTCAGAATTTTGTTCATGTCATGGATTTATAACGAGATTTATTATATTTGATTTGCTTGCTTTTCAAATCTGAGTAGAAATCTTTGTATATAAATCTAGGACTGCAAGGTACAAATGGCATCATCCCAGAGCAAATCAGATTCTGATGGTAAGGATTTGTATTAACTGATATTTTACCTGTTGTTTCTTGGTAATCTAAAAATTGACTTGACTTCTGAAATTATCTAAAGGGGCCGCAAGTGCTTTGGATGAAGAAAATTTTTGTTCTAGTCCACAACTTTCGACACTTGCTACAACTGCTGCTTCTGGAGAAGGTTAGTTTGTTTGTCAGTTATGTATGACTTAAGTGTTTTTAAATGTAACCACTCATATACTCATTTATACATCCTTGCATTTCTACTGTTTGTTCATTTGGTTTAGCTTGCACACCACTTATTGATGTCCAACTGTCACCAAAGAAGGCTCTCTGTCACGCAATGCTAAAGAGTCGCTTTGCAGATACTATCTTGAGAGCAGAACAGAAGATACTTTTAAATCATGTAATGAATTTTGATTTTCCATATGAAGTTTGATGTGCAGAATTATGATGTTATTTCTAGCAAGTTAGAAGTAGTATAGTGGTCGAGCATGTGATGTTGCTTACCAAGTTTGTCATTGATCTCAGGGTGGTAAAGCTGATGTGTTAAAAATGCAGCAGGACAAGGAAAAAATGGAAAGAATGCAGCATGAAGGTATTAAATGAACTTCGTACCTGTCAGTATTATATATTTGTATGTGCTACTGAGCTAACACATAATTCTCCCTTTTTAATATAATAATGACATTTCTTCTTAGATTTTAATGAAAATTTGAAGGTCTTGAGGGTGGTTATTGACCTATCATGCACAAAATATTTAATTCTTTAATCTATTTCAAGCTGGTTGGGAATTGATGATACGAAATTTGTAGTGTATTACGATGGTATTACAAATAGAATAGAACAGAACAGAATTGGGACAAGGAAAATGTTAAAGTAGGATGTGAGGACCTTTTTAAGTGTCTGGTTTATCAAATACCCAAATCCTAAGACACATGAACTTGATAAACATTTATATTTCTCTCTCTCTCTCTCTCTCTCTCTCATGCGCGTGTTGAAGGGATGGAGGCTACAAGAGAACATGAAATCTGTGATCTAATCTACTTTGGCAGCTTTAATTCATCCTATCATATTATTTTTATTGGAGTTTTTATTCATTTTTGTTCTTACTATGAGGTGCTTCTCTTTTTATGGAAAAGCTATAGAAAGTTCTGCAACTTTGTTTTTAACTGGTAATTTTACTGTTCACAGAGATGTTAAGAATTCAAGCTGAAATCAAGGCTGCTGAAGCTGCCTCGCGACTAAGAGCAAAAGCTGAACTGAAAATGCAGCGGGAGAGAGCCCTACTTGCACTAGAGAAGGTATGTCTATGTCTCAGTATCTCTTTCATGTAGATGTTCAAATTTGTTGAGACACCTTTATTACGAAAGGGATCTTTCCTGTTGTAAATCTTACCCCTATTCAGATAGAGAAGACCATGGAGATTGATTAAAATTTGAAGATCTTTAAAGATCTTGAGGTGCTTTGTGGGTGTTCGCCATTTGGCCGCTTCTGTAATGCGTTGAACAGCTCGGTTTGTATATAAAGGAGGAGTACCTGGTGGGGGAGAACGAGGATATATATTCATAAATCTGAAAACTCTTTCTTTTGTCACTCTGATTGTATATTCTTGTTTAGTGGAGTGGGAAAAAAACAAGGTTGCGTGTAAATGATCTACTGAGTGAGGGATTGTAGTTGTAGAAGAGGCAAGAAAAATGTTGCAATATAGATGAGTGGAACTTATTAGGTGGGGCCTCCTTCCCATTAGTTTCTCATCTCCATTTTTTGAGAGGGGATGATGTATTTGGATTTAGGGATATTGGAAACTGTTTATAATATATAGCTATAGCCTGAAGAGGGGGCTTCCATTGAGTTTCATCTCTAGGGGACTGTTGTATTATCAATGCAAAGTTGATGTTACTATTTTTCAGATTATGCGTCTGCTTTTCCCTGTCCCTACTACTATTTGATTTTGATAGAGATATTATATATAGTACGGTCTTAAGCTGCGTGTCAGAAACCATCACAATCTGGTCTCAATGTTATAAGGGCTGTTCCATTTTGAATTTTCATGGTGACTTGTAAGGTTGTAATTTAATGTTTTCTTCTTTATTGTTGCTATTTCAAAATTAGGGGTGACAATTTATGTCTAACTCATTAAACCGTTCAATGGTCAATAGTGGGTTAAGATTTAAGAGTGGTACCGCTTTTCTCTCTTCTTTGTAAAAAAAAAAAATTAGGGTAAAGTGCAAAAAACCTCCTTGAACTATTGGTCATTTAGTAGAAAACTCTCCTGATCTAATAATTTGGTATATAACCTCCTGAATTAACCATTTTGTTGCAATTAACCCAGTTCGGTGATCAACTGGTTGAATTTGACCGTGAAGAAGCACATGACGGGTCACGTGACAACCCAAATTTCTTTAAATGACCATATAACCCTTTATGAAGCTAAAAGACCACAATGCCCTTATTAGTACGTTAAATCCCAAATAGGTGAGAACCCCTAAATTCTTCATTCTTCGTCTTCCTCGATCAAATCTCTCTATATAAATTCCTTATTCCTCATCTTCCTCAATCAAATCCCAAATAGGTCAGAACCCATAAAGCCAGTGAGCTCAACTGGATTGAATCCGCGGCCGGCGAACAAGGGAGGGCTAGGCTGTGGAGAAATCGGCCGGTGGAGACAATGGCAAAGAGCTCAAATGGTGGAGCTCTGACAGGTGAGGTTAGTGGAGATAGACGGCGGGCAAGAAGTCGCAATTCCGGTGATGGGCTGTTATGAAGAAGCTTGGTCATGGTCATGTACGGGGACCGGTTGCGAGGTCCCAGTAACTGACCCCGGAGACTTCGGCTCGCCCCAAGGCAACACAAGCACCATCTTTGAGTACATAAAGTGAACGAGTTGACTCAGCGGCAAATTTCGTGGTGACAGAATTTTGATGGGCTTACCTAAGTTCACACCAGCAACCCTAATCAAGTCCTTTGTGAATGAAATTATGGTATCTTCTTTGTCGTCGTCCTCCTAACACGCGTCAAGCTAAGCCAGGTTGTCTGCGCCATAGTGAGTCAAGAGCGAGTGGCGAGTTTCAGTTTGGGACCCGGGTCGTTGGTGTTGATCTCGGTGGTATTACTGGTCCGGAAGATGCAGTTCATATGGAAATTATAGAATTAAAAAATCAATTCCTTAGACGACATCAACCGTTTCCACCATTCCGATTCCAACAACAATTCAACGGCTTCATCGTCGCTCTTAACCAATCAATTCGCGGCCATAATATCTCATATTCTTGCCGCCCAAAACGTCAATGCCTAGTAATTGGACTCGATTAGAGTAATCAGCAAAGGGCATTTCACAATGGTTCGATATCTCAGTTTTGGCTCTTCGATTTATTGATTATTCCTCAACAATCACAAGTATTCCTATATATATATATATATATATATATAGTGAGATATATATTTCAAAAGTAATAGGCCAAAGCTTTCTTCAGGCAGTGTTTGGATAGATAGGGGAGAAAAGAAAGGAAAGGATAGTATACGTTAGGAAGGTAAAAAAAAATAATAAATATAAATAAATAAATAAATAAAGAAGAAGAAAAGAAAGAAAGAAAGGATAATAAATATATCTATTCATGTTTGGATAGATAGGGGAGAAAAGAAAAGAAAGGATAGTTATTCTATTTCACACATTAGGATATTTTGGAATGTTTCTTTCTCTTAGTTCAATGTAATGGGTAAAAACAAAAGTAAAAAAGAAAAAGAAAAAATAAAAATAATGGGTGAAAACAAATTTAGATAGGATTAGACCTTTTTCTTTCTTCTTTTATGTGGATTCAGTTGTTGCCCTAGCAAAATTGTCTTTCATTATTTCTGTTATCACCAATTGACCGAAGATGTCACATGGAGGTTAATTGCAAAAATTCAATAGTTCAAGGGGGCAAATTGTAGTTCAATGGGGTTAATTGCACATGGCCAATACTTCAAGTGGGTTTTTTGCACTTTACCCAAAAAATTATAAACAAATTTATTAGTATTATTGTTATTATTATTTTTTGGTATTCAACAATCATAATAGTATTAGGGTAAAATGCAATAAACCCCCCTCAACTATTGGGGTATTGCAAGAAACCCCTGAACTACAAAAAAAAAATCCCCCTAAACTATGTTTTTGTTGCATTTTACTGCACTAGAACAGATTCCGGTACTGAAAAAATCAAAAGACCATGGCCCTATTTGGATTGACTTTTCAAACGCTACTTTTGACTTTTTGAGATTGGAAGCTGTTTTGAGTAGTGTTTGGATAATTTTTTTAAAGAGCTTTTGGATTTTAGAGAGCGTTTTGAGGAAGCCTAAAATACACTGGAAGCCAAATGATGATTTAATGAAACTTTTAAAATTCCAAGGATACCCTTTTTATTACTCACTAAGAAAATAAATTCCAAGTATGTCCCTATAAAAGGCTATTTTTTTCAAAACCCTAATGCGTCAAGACTCTTGCTCTGCCAATAGTCAAGACCCTTGCAATACAACGTTCATCCTCTGATATACTCTGAAGTTTTCCTCTCAGGCAACCAACGTTCATCCTTGGTTTCAGATTTAACCAACGAAGACCATCGACAAATCCCACTAGAACAAACCATCGAGATATTTTACTTTTTTTTTTTTTTTTTTTCGATATTATAATTGGGTTTTTGTTTCAAAAAAAAAATTTCATTATCCCAGTCATAGATTTGATTTTGTTGAGATTTTAAGCAAGAGGAAGAGGAAGAAGAAATCATAAAAATTACAACGCATAAGAAGGAATCATAAAGTTACTGTTTAGCCATTTAGAAATCTGTTTCCATTGACATTTATTTCAATGGAAATTAGTAAACAAACAAACAAGTTCACACACACACACACACACACATATATATATATATGTATATATATGGATGATTCTAGTATTTATTTGGAGAGAGATCACGAGCCGTCTTCAGAGAAGCCTTCGGGGACAGTTTGGGCATCGCGGATGTGTTGATTGTGGTCATCAAACGGCTCAAATTTGTCGACAGAGTACTGTGCTTTTTGGAGAAAGGGTTTGAAACTGATCTGTGAGGTCAGGTATCCGAAAGCTAAAGCTCCGACCACATCGCATTCTTCGCGCTCTCTCTCATCCCTACTTCTTCGTCTTCTTCCTCTCCCTCTGGGTTCCATTGTATACAATGGAAGTTGTTTAATAGAGGGTATTCAATGTCTCAAATTGACAACTACAATATTTTTCCTTATGTTTGTTGAAAAGAATAGAGTTTCTATATGATGTATGCTAATTTATATATACAATATGTTGATTATTATTTAATTAAAAAAATTGATTTCTCAAAAATAGTGTACATCCATGGTTATATAGCTAGCTATAGTTTTCAGTAACAGCACAAAGTGACAAGTATATATGCGGCAAAATACATTTGAATTGCAGCTTTGTTAAATCAGTGTGGAAATGATTTGACAATCTTATAAAGTGGAGTTCTTCCGGTTCAAAATTCAAGCACTTGTTGATTGTTTTTCCAGTAATTTGAGAGGTAAAGCTTCGAGGAGCAAGCTGAGCAAAATGTTGTTTACTACTATTGTGCAAGCTACATGACTATATAGGAACCAAAGGATGCATGGAGGTTCAAGGACGGAAGCATTTGATCTTTTCAAGGAATGTCCTCTTTGATCTCTTGAGGAAGCAAACAATTACTTTGTATAAGATATTGTTGTTTGAGTGTGTTTTCTTTTATTGGTGAGTCAAATATTCAGGACTCTCATCCGGGATAGTAAGGACAAAATAGTTATATCATTAGTAAAAGAGTTTCAGCAAATATTTTGCTAAACAGGTAAAAAAAACTCTTCTGACATTAAAAGCTATTTTAAATTACAGTTCTAAACACCGACGTAGAAGTCAAATGGAAGTGATAGCTTCCACTTTTCTTTTTTCTGTGTGAAAGCAGAAGCAAAAGCTATACCAAACGAACACCATGTTATCCTTTTGAAAAACGACACAGTTTCAAGCTTAATATACTTGACTTGCTGACTTGGAATATAAATTTCAAGAACCAATTAAATAATGCCAACACACAAGAAATAAGCCTAAATGTCTCTTTATTGCAATTATTACATTTTAGAGAGAGAGGAGAGCGAGAGAGGTACAAGTAACGGGTATTGCGATTCTTCTGGGTGAGTTCCCTGTTGAGTGGTCTTTTGGTGCAAGATGATAAGTCAGGTCTGTTGTTGTGGTAATTGTGCTCATCTTTTCTCTGCCATTCAGTTCCTATCTG